CTTTTGCAACTGTAACAAAATTCTGCGGAACCGCTGCAAATTTTGTTTGTCTTAAGGGAGGTGGAGGACTATATGTCGCCGAATTTGGAAGAGTCCCGCGCGGATTCCCTGCAGGAACGCATGTCCGAGCATGTACAACGGTGCGTATTTGTCGCAAATGACCGCGGGGACCGCCCTTTTTCGGCGACATATGGTCGTCTACCCTCTTGCGGGACTTCCGATGAATTATCTGAGAATAGAGTGAGTGCACAATGTTATTTTTCGGATGGGTCTGGACTTCTCAGCAGAACCCTGTACACAGCAGTAGAGTCAAACTAGTCAGAATGTGTTTATATGATTTCCGTCACGAAAGGCCTAAAAGAAAGCCTCGCCAATTGCAAACTTTATCTGACTTTTGTGCTTTCGAAGGCAAGATCTGTGCTACTCATCGCCGAAATTTGTTTGAAGCGCGCGCATCAGAAGCCGATCGACCATGACTTCAGTTACCTGTCAGCCATGGTGGGTGCGTTCCTTCAGCGTGAGGGCGTTAGTAGTAGCCAAAAGATGGTAATAGGGTGAACGGTAAAAGTGGGACACCTAGAGAATAGCTGTACATTTTTCAAGGAAGAGAAGTGATTGAACCTTCCAAGTTTGAAAGATATTCGAATATTTTATTCTCTTTTAGACTACACCCATATAAGGTCATCAGCATACTTAATAGTTTTCATACTTGCTGAAATGCAAAGTTAGTCACTTCGACAAATTATAAACTTCGACCAGTATCTGCCAAGTGAAGCATGTGAGACCATCCAAAATAACACTGCTACAATGGGTGAAGGTACAGTCACCAAACTCACAATGGCTTGCCTGCCGCAACGCTTGAAGTAAGAAGATATGGTCATTTTCCGGAACGAAGATGCATGTTATTTACTTCTTTGCAAGTGAACGTATGTTATCTGGCTATCATCTGATAGAGCTTTTTATGCTTAATCTAACCATATGCAGTTTACCTCAGATTTCATCTATCCTTAGGAGAAAATAGAAGTTGAAACATGATCTTTTGGTTTTTACTGCGCCAAAAAATCGCGACTTTTCAAGCACCCTAATTTCACGCGTACAAGGCGCACCTTTTTTGATTTTTCAACAAAGCCGCTCAATCGCTTCAACCTGTTTCGGAAAGCGAACGTTAAACCGTTCAATTCTCTCAGGCAATACGGAGCCCGGTATAGGGCTTTATGGTCGCGAAGGGTTGTGGCGTGTTTGGGCTGGTGGAATTTTGGAAAAAAAAATCCCCCGCGCCTTTCACGTGTGAAATTAGGGTATTTTGCTTCTTTATTCAGAAATAGAAGCGAGTCCTATAAGTTCAATGTTATTGTTTGAAAGAGCATGAAGAGCTTTTTTGAATGAGTCTGCTTTATAAATTTACGGTATAACAGCGCAAGTTTGAGAATGTTTAAAAAATCATGTCCAAGTTCTTCACGACGCCACGGCGCAGAGAGGAACACATAACACGTACCAGAATAATAGGCAAAGGCTGCTTATGTAAGTGACGTTCAAGTTGCAGCCTACTTGCTCTTGATCGAAACGAAAAGTCTCAAAATGTAGTAAAAAATCAAGCTGTCCCATTTTTTGCAGTTCACCCTAATATTTTGAAATATGAGTTCATGCTGTTTCTGTGTGCTTGAGTAAAACTTTTATTTCGCATCGAATTTCTAATAGAAGAAAATCAGGCTTGAAGGTTCGCATCGAATTTCTAATAGAAGAAAATCAGGCTTGAAGGCTTTCAAGACGTTCTATTCATTCGTAGAGGAATTCAACATCATTTTCACTCTAGAACAAAACAGGAAATTTCTCGATGGACTGGCTCCGGTGAGAAAAGATTAACACAGCTACGAAAGTTCAGTCAGCCTTTAGATGCTTACGACGACCTCACGTAGGTCACAGCCTGCAAAGCGCGATCAGATTTCGGCTTGCTCCGAATGTGCGTATAGTGTGTATTAAAACGCAAATTAGCTGATGTTTACGTAATTCTCGTGCCCCTATACACTGATAAATATACAACTCTTGCTTGTCTTATCTTTGTCGTGTCATTTTGGGTTAACAAAGCCCAAGAGTCTCAACTCCCACAAAATTCGGTGCACTGATTGGGGAAACCCGGCCGCTTTTGTGACAGGCGAGCACTCTCCCACTGAACAACCAATGCTCTTCGGACCACCTTTTACAGCTTCGTTCCAGCTCTGGCGTGCCTCGGTTGTCGTGTGCTTTCGCTCGTGCTCATGCTATGCGAACCGCACCTAACTTCCTTCTAGCACGGATACACCCTCTATCTATGAGACTGGTATGCCGCGAGAGGTATGCCTTAGGCCCCGGTCAGACTTCACGCGACTTAATCGTCGCGATCTAATCGCCAAGATTTCCATTCATTTTCATTTCACATTCAAAAATTTCGGGCTGGAAAAGTATCACAACCGAATGAAAGCTGATCAGCATGGAATGATGTTGTAACAGTTGTCTCCTCGCGATTCAGTCGCGACGATCAAATCGCGTGAAGTCTGCCCGGGGCCTTAGGCCTTAAACTTAACGGGACTGTGAGCGAATCAAAAAGTACGGCCAACTTAATCTGGATGTACATGCACCTGCAGTAGATATCGGTACCGCGTGATGCCTGCTGCCCCTCCCAGCTTGCCGTTTCATCGAAGTAGCAAATAGACCTATGTCGCGGCTCCGCGATGCGAGCGCTCTTAGAAGTAAGAGGTCGGGAGGCTGTAACTTGGCACATAACAAGACTTTCTTATATTTACACTATTCTCAATTCGGTGTTAAACGCGAACAGGAAGAAGGCTAGGTTAGAGTTTCACAAATGCATGGATCAGATCAATTATCATTATGATGGATGGCCTACATTCACGCTTTGAAGGCTGCTTACCTGCACTCGATATTACGAGCCAAATGTTACTCATTTTTACCCTTAACATCAAGTTAACGCAAGTTGTTATCTAGTTGAAGTGTTTGCACTTACGAACGACGAAATGTTACGTTAGACTCCATCAACACTTTACACATTGAGCAAAAAGAATGCAACATACTCCTTAATCCACAACACCATTCGCGCCATTTGAAGCAACTGAAATTTAGCCACTCGCCCTCACGGCACAAACTTTAGCAGGGATAATTTTCATGGTGATCATCATGTTCATGAAACTAATACGCCCAAAAATAATTGCAATCTTATGCAAAGTTATGTGCTGTTACAAGCAGCAATTATACGAAAACGTATGGGCTTGGAAGACAGTAGAAAATAAACACGCGAAAAGTTTCCAAACCAGTCGTTTAATCCGCCGCTGAGGTGCGAGGTATGTACGTAGACGCTCCCCTCCAGTGGCGCCCCCCCCCCCGAGAATGGGTCGCGAAATTTTTGAAAATTACTTATATGGGCTACAAAAATGTGCAAGTGACTTGTTTATTTTTGTGAATAATTGAAATAATTTTTAAAAATTTTTAAAAATTCAAATTAGCCTTGTAAAAAAATTTTTTTCGGGGCGTGACTGAAGCCACGCCCCCTTTTTCCGGGTTTTGGGGGTCGGAGACCCGCAAAAGTTTTAAGAAGCACCCCAAAAAATTTTTCGGAGCGTGGCTAACGCCACGCACCTTCTTTAGAAAAAATTTTTTGTCGCCCCCCCCCCGGAGCCGAAATCCTGGGTACGCCACTGCTCCCCTCCTGTATCAAAATCACCCGCGTAATTGAGCATGACGAAAAGGCACAAAGGCGTCATGGTAAAATCTAGAGTTATTAGGTCGGTCCGGAAGTTTTGTGGTTTTTCTTCAAAAATCGTAACTTTTCATTTTTTTGGACAGATTTGCTTTGCTGTAAATTTAAGGAAGGGGAAACCTTCTACTTTGTAGTGCTATCTTAGCAATGTTCTCCCGGGCACTGGCTGCAGAGAACAAATTGGATTGAAGAAGACATTCAAGCTTTGATCATTTCAAGTTAGGCCGCCAAAAATCTGAAACGTTGCAGATGAATCCGAAATCGCCAATCGTAAGTACTATGACTTAGCTTTTGCAGCTGTGAAAAGGCTGTTTGAGCGTTTCTATGAGAAGTTATGAATTTCGAATTTTCAGAAAAAGCTAATTGATTTGTGACTTTTCCTGAAAATCTTAACTTCTCACAGAAACGTCCAAACATCACATACTCTTCACATTTACAAAGAGTAGTTCGAAAAACTTACGTACTGACGATTGTAGGCTTTTTACAGCCTTCCAGGTTTTTGGTGACCTAACCTAAAAGATCAAAACTTTAAATGGTCATCCTTTTCCATTTTTATCTCTGTAGTCAGTGTGGAACAGAAGCTCTGCAAGATAGTATTGGAAAGCAAAAGACATTTCTTTCAAATGAAATTACAAGTAAGCAAAGTTGCGATAGCGCAAAGTTAAAATTTTTTTAAAGAAACGACAGAACTCTCGGATCGCTTAATTCATAGCATTAGCAAAGATACAGATTAACCTCCTCTTCTCATCGCCGGCCCAGCCAGCCCGTCCTGAGCACCCCGCATTAACTCCAGATACATGGTAAAGGCAGTAAGCGCTTACCCCATATTTATTTACGACTGCTATGCATCTCAAATTGCACAAGAGCTATCTATTTGGATATTGTCAGTCAACTATCAAGCTATCAAGCTGTTCCCAACTAACAAGCAGGGGCGGTAGTTGAAGATTTGACCAATGCAGCATTGCGATTGTTCTCCATGATCTGATGCTGAAGATTGAGTAGCTAACTGACGGACGATGCTGAAAAAGATGGCGCTGCTTTTGAAGCGCACAGCTCTGAATTCAACTGTTGCACGCATTCTTTCAGCATAGAAAAGACGTGGATATTGCAGCATTATTGTATCACGAACGCGCGGAAGAACTTGTTCATTTCAAATATATCTCCTATCATTTCAAAACAGTGCACAACCAAACTTCTCGCTTGTCTCATTTGTTTCTCCCTTGTTCTCGCAGATGGTGTATGTTGCGGCTAGATGAGCTCATCAACGACGGAAGCGCTTTCTTTATGCTCGTTGACATGGAGAGTAAGTGAATTTGCTTTGTTGATTACTATTCACAGAAATGGTAGTAACTGCATAAAGTGGCGCTGAGAGTTTCGCATAATGGAGAATAATGGAGATTGCTGTGATTCTTAGGGGAGAAGGCAAGTCAGGCAGTAGTTGAGCGAGCGTTGTTTTGAGGGATCCTCCAAAAGTAGAGCTTCAATCACCCAACCAACTTAGTAGCCAAAGCTTTTGAGGTTATGAACATGCTTAAAGGCAGTGTACGGGCAAGATGGGGGTTTTGTGGTTTTTGGGGCCATGGCGAGTAGCCCCCTCAGACACAACATCGCGCAATTGTGAGGTCGTAACGTTCGACCTAAAGCAAGAAAAACGACCGGAAATGGGGGAACTTACGCCTTGGGGCGGGGTTCTCTGAGCTGTCCGAATTCCTGCCATGCGGTAGAGTACGCATGCTGCCACAGTTAAAATATAGGGTCCCGCAGCGACTCTGCGTCTCTGCCTTGGTGGGAACCGTCGAATTTCAAATTATGCGGCTTTGGAAAACGTATGTTCTCGCCGTTTTCGCGCCTTCTAATGTGGATTTTCGGATTCAGCGTTGCGGATAACCCTCGGTAAGCGGATCTTCTAGAAATCGAGTTTTTGCCCAGACACTGCCTTTAAGACACATCTGATCTTTGAACTTCTGACTCGCACTCCGCGGATTATACCTCTGGGAAGCCAGTGATCCACACCTGCGTCTGATCTGAATTTCAAGCACCATATCTATGAACATGACTCATAATAAAGCACTAAGCGTTGTCTTTTTGTGTGTATTTGTCTATTTATCACGAAATTCATAGGGGAGCAGCAGCCAAGCTAGCGAGCTACAATTTTGCATAGCGTACCATACCAACGTAAGTTCACCAGGCACAAGGATGAGCCGGTTCGATAAACGGATCCTTCAAAATTTGCGCGTCAAACGGGCCCACGCGGCTTTTGGCACGCAAAACTAGGTCGCTACCTTTTTGCAAAGTCATGACTAGTTTGGCGAGCAAATCTGCGCTTCGTGAATTCTAGCCCAAAAGTGCTCAAAAATTTACTTTTCTTCGAAAACAGCGCCGAAAAGTGGTGATCGCGTAGATATTCGATTTGACAAGGCTTTACCTAAAAATTGTAAAGAATCTTGCACAGAAATGTAGCTCAAAGTGACTATTCTCGTAACGAGACTATCAAGCCAAAACAAATCCAGTAATCCACTCAAATTCGCAGGTGTTCTTTTGCAAAAAAAGTTTTCTTTTTCTCAAAATTGCCGATCTTGAATGGAGATGCTTCAAAAATGAACGGTTAATTACAATTCATTTGTGATGTTCAGCATCGCGCGATGAGTTTCAAAGTCATCCTTCTGCAAGTTTGAAAAAGGCATACGGATATTTAGCAGGGCATTGCGAACCTTCGCGAAGCGGAGGTGACGCACTAGTACTCAATAAATTGCAACGTGATCGCTTGAAATTATCATTCGAGTGGATGTAACTGCTGAGCCGTTCTTTGAGGTGAATGAGACATTTTTGCAAGCGGCTAAAAATAGAATCCGATTTCCTCTCTTCTCCTTCGCTGCAATCCTTCTCCTCCTTCAAACCTTATGCTGTGCTCCCTTCTCCTACTGTGTGCACACCTCTTCTCCATTTTGAGCATTACCGCAGCTCCGCTTAAAATCACTGCTTCCTGTCATCTTATTCAAGACAGAATGAGCTTCACCGCCCCTATTAACATGACTAAAGGGGAATGCTATGTTTTGATAGTGATCAGCGAACCTACTGTTCGCCTAGCTAGTTTTTCCGGTCTCGCCCGGGTCACAGCTTCAGCCTACATTCGCCCCTCCCCGAAGTGTATGTGTGCCAAGTTTGGTCCGGATCGGTTTAGAAGTGGAATTTTCTATCCGGAGTAGGTACAACAGACACACACTGGCACACAAGACACAGACACAGACAAACAGACATTTGGTTACTTACATAGTTTAGTGCTCGTACGCAGACTCTCTCACATCAGCTGGAGAAAGGGGCGAGGAGAAAGAGGGAACTGTCTTGTCTAATTTAGACACAGTTTGATTTCAGAGTCAGTCCAACAGCAGTATCGTGGACAGTAACACATCTTCAGTTCAATTCGAGACAGCATCGGGCGAAAGACCGCGAACTGGTAATTCTGTGGTAAATAAAGCGTGGACATAATGAACCTTTGCTTTATCAGAGGCTGGATCAGATCCACCTGTCAGCAATCAACGCAGTGCTTCTTCCCGCAAGCGAAAAAACTATGGTCCATCAGATATGATCAAAGTATTCGTGCCAGTGTCCATATGTATGCTACTCGTCGTGACCTGCACTAGAAATATAGAGATCTACAAAGGGGATGATATTATAAAGACGTAAGTTTTTTGTCTCTACTGTTACGACGAGTTGAGGGTGCACATACTTTGTTCTTAATCTACAAATGTGGCTGTTACACTTCAAATGCTACAAAGATCCCACTCCAAAGTAGCTTCCATACAACCACAATTGCGACGTTCATTTTAGCATCAAAAACACACTGCTGAGGTACTCACGTTGTTTTTTTGCAAAAAGGATCACGTCTTCTCTTCTAAAAAGTGAGTAAACCTCCGACGAGATCCTCTTTCTTATCCGAAGACAGGCACAGAAAGCAGAAGTTAGCTGGTCTTGGCTCACCAACTCAACGAATGAATCCATCAGGGATCCTTAGAAAGGGGAGGGGAACGGGGATTCACTGTCTTTGATCTCCTCGTACGGATTTCCTAAGCTAACGGGGAATGGTCTGAACTCAACTCAGCCATTTCAAACTAGCTCGTCGGACTCGACTTCGGACGTTGATTGCAAAATATGTTCCATTATTTGAAAAAAGCGTTTGGGTATGAGAAATTGTTTGAGTTTTAACGGATAAAATTTGTTGCAAGGCACCCTGAGGGCACTTAATTACAGCGAATGGATATGCCAAGTCACCGAAATAATCCGTAAAATCGAATTTGAGTTTAGTCGTGTTTTCTAGGCTATATGTTGTTTATCACGATCCAAAGGCAGAAGCTCCCACAAAAATCTGGCACTCTCTGGTGAACGCGGGTGTTTTCCTGTTAATAGTCGCCATCGCTACATTTGGAATCGTAGCTCTTTTTTACTACAAATTTTACAGAGTACGTACATTATCACTATCTGCAAACAGAAAGTATCGACAAGCAATTTCAGTGCCTAAACTTCTTCGTTATGTTTTCCACATTCATGCTGATTACTTTGGTATCGCTAATGCAGTACTAGTAAGTCGCCATTCGCTGTAGTCGCCTTAGGCCTCGGGCATACCTCACGCGATTTCAGTCGCCACGCGATTTGGCATTGCTCCAAATGTTCACAACTCATCCTACGGGGTTTTTGAATGTACGAAAGATGGGGCATTTTAACAACCTACGAAAGTTATACATGCTGTGCATTTGGGGTCTACCAGTATTGAATTTGAAAACATCTGGCAGATTGCCAGATCGCGTGGCGACTGAATTCGCTTGAGGTATGTCCCTTGCCTTACAGTAACGAACCAAATTTTTAGTGAGATATTGCGTGCTATAAATTATCCGCTTTCATTGCCATTAGTGCTATTTCTCCATGGAAATCTAGCAGCTGTTGAGTTAATGTCAATTTTTTGGAAAGGCCCAATGAAGGCACAGCAGGTACGCTTCTGTCACACTTATGTTCTTCCTTTCTTCTTGGCCTTTATCGTTATAATCTCTGTCAAATTTTGCAGCACATACAGACTTGACAGTTTAGGGTACTTTGATCCTCATGGCGGCTATGGTGACACTCACAATAATGCGTATATTTCCAAAATGGACTAGTTGGGCAGTGCTAATAGCGTTGGGCTTTTGGGATCTCTTTGCCGTGCTCTCTCCCTGTGTAGGCTAATATGCACCACATCAGGAATGTATGTCAAATGTGTTTATTTCAGGGCCCTTTGAAGTTGCTCGTGGAAACAGCTGAAGAGCGTGGCGAAGATCTCATGCCTGCAATCATCTACAGTATGCTGTTTTGTTCTCTTAGCTAGTATCCGCTGGATCCTTCGCACACAAGCCGCTGTTTTTAGCGATAGAGGATGAAAGAAATGGGGAGGCAGAATAAGGGAGGGGTAGGAAGGCCAAAGATTCCACAGAACTAGCAGAACAGCTGATGAAATAAAATGGTTTATCGCAATTGACCAACCACGAAGGCTGATATATTAATGAAGTACAGAAAGCGGAGAAAGTAGGAGCTATGATGACATCTAAATGAGCTATCGAAGAGCAGCGAAGACGGTTGAGGGAAAATGGGCATCTGAACCGGCATACATATGGTGCATAGGCTGTAACGTATATCTTGTGGTCTTGGTCAGACTATATGACAAAAAATCCTAGCCCGGGCGCATGGATCCACCGGGGCGGAGGGGGGAGGGGGGGAGGGGGGGGGGACCTTGCTATGCAGGCTGCAGGATTTAATGTTTACCTAGCATCTTCTGTGAGATATAAATTATTTTCTTTTGCAGCTGGAAGTGCAACTTTACCAAAGACGGACTTGACGCAATCGAGTGTTGAAAGGTTATAAGTCAAGCTGATTTGGTTACCTTTATCGTTGTTTTTTTAGTGAGCCAAATGAGCAGAGAAGCTCTCGATCACGATCTAAAGGTGTCAACTCGCTTCGAGCATTCAGCATAAAAAGTTCTGAAGGAGACGAGAGTGAGAATATATTCAAGCATTTCAGTTTATCTTCATCTATGCAAGTCTATTTAGGAAATATCCGGCTTGGATTAGGCGACTTTATCTTCTACTCTCTGTTGGTTGGAAATGCGTCAGTTCTAGCTGATTGGACAACTACACTTTCGTGCTACGTCGCTATCGTCATGGGACTCGGATTCACCCTTATGCTTCTAGTAGTGTGAGCCTTCTAGATATCACACTGTCATCATACAAAGATCTTCGCTTTAGGTTTCAAAAAGCACTGCCAGCCTTACCAATATCGATAGCTTTCGGAGCAATAACCTTCTTCAGCTCAAAGTTTGTGACCTCGAAGTTTGTCGAGGAGATCTATAGAAAGCCAGTTTTCCTTTGACAGAAGTCCAAGTGTTTTTTGATAAGTGAACGTAACAATATGCGTACCTCTATAATTAATGAAGTTCCACATGGTTTGAATAAAGTTTTGTTGGTTATTCTTTGCTGAGTAGAGAGAGTGGAGGGGGAATTAATGGAATATGTTATACGTCCTCTTGTCTAGAAACGCCTGAGCATTCTGTGGTACTGATTTCAATTTCCTTTTGCCGTATTCACTGTTATCAGTGCAACTTATTCCCGAGCGTTTCGGCACAACGCCGTCGTCGGAGGCTTAAAAGTGGTTAATCACTCTGACTCACAATCTTGGTCGCAACCAGGGTCAAGCGTGGGGTGTGGCATGCCACACCTGGGGGGGGGGGTCGTATTGAGGAATCAGGGAGGGGGGGGAGGGGTCGTTATCAAGGCGTCCGCTGTTCGCATAACATAATATTCGTTAACAATTTCAAATAGGCATGCAAAATACTAGCACATTGATGTTTGACCCATTATTTATACGTACAGTAAGCATAATCAAAGATCTATAAAGCATAAGAGCATCGTTTTGTAATTAGCAAGTAAAATAACCTCTGTGGTCCAAGTTTCAGCGAATTCTGAGGTTTCCAGATACAGGACCACCTAAGTGAGATGGTCGTTTTCAAACTTGTTACTTTGTTTCACAGTTTCAGGTAAGTTAACTACTTCTTTTTGAGCTCAATACAAAGAACTACTGTTTCTTATTAGGAATCCTACTTAAAATGATCTCTAAATTAAGGAATTATAAGCAAGCCAAAATCTCGTTTATTCCATTTTTCGTTTTCAATATCTCACAAGGGAAGTACTTTCAATGGCCGTGGCCTTTTGATATGAGATGCATATCTTCTGAAGCAGCTTTAAACGCTGATTTTGAATCTTCTTTCCGTTTCTGCGGAGCGCCCTTATGAAGAAAGTTATGGAAGCCTGAAAAGCCTATTTTGGGGCGCTTTTTGAGTTTGAGAGCGGTGCTATGTGCGTCGGTGGTGCAGTGGTGTAATGGTGAGTTGTTGGCATTGAAGGCGATAGGTCGATGGTTCGAATCCGGTGAACAGCAAGCCATTTTGCACTTTGAATGTGAGTTTAAAAACCAGAGTAATTCACCTGCTGTCACTTACTGTAATATCCTTTTTTTTCTTTGGGGAAAAATTTTCTGGCATAACTGCTTGTAATGAGGCCCTGAAACTCTACCTGATTTCGTTACCAGTAAAATAGGAACGAACATGGTGAAGCATGTTCACCACCATACAAAGCTCAAGGAATGCTCACTTCATTAATTTAGTTCAATTTAATGGGTACCTGCGAGCATGAGAATTGCGTGGAGTTTCTCTTCATAAGCTGTTCCCGTTGTGAGAAATGTCTGTGTTTCGCCCAATTTGTAATTTCGCTTCACCTCTACACATATTTTTTGCGGAGAAAACCAAATCTTAACAAGCAAGCGGTTTGACAGAAAATTTTTTTTCTTAGCGCACATTTGCTAAAGGTATTACAGTAAGTAATTGCAGACGAATTAGACTGGTTTTCAAACTCACATTCAAAGTGTAAAATGGTTCGCTCTGCACCGGATTCGAACCACCGACCTTTCGCTTTCAATGTCCAACAACTAACCATTACACCAGCGCCACCGCGCAGCTAGCACCGCTCTCAAGCTCAAAGAGTGCCCTCAAAATAGGATTTTCAGGCTTCCATAACTCTCTTCAGAAGGACGCTCCGCAGAAACGGAAAGCAGATTTAAAATCAGCGTTCGAAGCTGCTTCAGACGATATGCATCTCATATCAAAAGGCCACGGCCATTGAAAGTACTTCCTTTCAAAAAAAAACATTTTTAGCGAACATTATGTATATGAATCGATAGCCTAAACCTCATAGATTTCATGGGAGTGATTTGAGGCTGATTCGTCTTCTTAGCTCTGAGTAATATTTGGTGAAAGCACAGCCATTAAAAGCGAAAAATAGGAAACACAAGATTTCAGTTGGCTTCTAATTCCAAAGTTAGGAGGTCTTCTGAAGCGAGATTTCTGAAGTGACCAAAGAAGGAGTAGTGCTTTGTCTGTAGTGAAAAACAGCTAGCTACTTCACCTTTGAAACAAAATTAGTCATGCTGGAAAATGGCGATTTCACTTAGGTGTCCCAGTATCTTGAAACTTCAGAATTCGCTCAAACATTGTCTAGAGGGGTTAATTGACATGCTAATTATAATTATGTTGCCCGTCATGTTTGACAGGGCCTCCCAGTAGTGCTATTTTGAGTATATAATTCAGGGGGTCTTATTGAGACAGCGTTAAGAGAGGGGGGGGGGGGTCGTAACCAGCGATCGTGTGCCACACCTCTTGCCCCTGGTCGCAACATCTCCTCCCACTCGATCATTCGAATGGTCTTGAGTGGCAGGGAGTCTGCGAGCATAGCATTTTCACTAGAGCATGTCACCGTTACTTGTAGTTGTTCCAGTACTTCAACTGACTGCGATGTTAGAATGAGTCTTGATGTAAACTGACTACCGTGTTGAGAACAAGCAGTTGTGATGTCAGTGAACTGTTCAAATATAGTAGACGATCTTATGATTTGCAACATGTCAGATACGGAGTCAAATCTCCAGTAATAGATAATTGTTTATTCTTGTTGTTGATTTCGGGGTCACGAACAAGAATGAAAAATGCCCCGAGGGACTTTCTCGCGGAAATTTGTTTCGCAGGTCAAGATTGCGCACCTACCTAATATCGAAATCATTACCGTTGATCTACTTTCCTTTCCTTTCCCTTTCCTACTTTCCTTTCCCTGCGGACTGATACTTGCCGCTTTTTAGCCAAACGCTCGTTTACGCGCACACATAGTGGTCTATCCGTCTCACCAATGCGGGTGGCGGAGCATGCTAAACATTCTATTTGATACACAGCGTAATACTTCAAACAGTCTCCAACCTTTCCATGAATGCACGTTACAAAATTTCGTGTCAAGCTCTGTCATAATTTCTATTGCGTACCAGTTGTATGTATTTTGACGTCTTCTCGGGGGAAATACCAAGACACTTTCATTTTCGTATCAAACGTTGTCTTATTGCAGCACTGACCCTTTCGGAAATGAAACAAATTCACAGAGTATTTTTTTCCACTTTCTGTTCACTCGCCTTTGATGCTTTCTTTCTTCTCTCAGCTCGCATATTACTAGGCTGCTGCATAAGTTTTGTCCGATTTTTTTGCCTTACGTTTGAAGCAGCTGTTCTAAGAGAATTTCATCTCTAATGCGGTATTGTTAGTAATAGTTCGAAATTGATTTTCTTGCTCTTTCTAACGCAAATCAAATTCCAGTAAATTTCTTAGTGCAAATCAAATTCCAGTAAATTTCTTAGTGTAAGGAGATTTCAGGCTTAAAATCTCCAAGTGGTCGAGCTATGTTCTCACCCTAGAAATATGTCCTTGCGAGGAGATCTCCACAATGCTCTCTTCAAGTCAAGTTCTTTCATTGGTTGCGGATTAGGAGTGTAGAAGGCTAGTATATGCAGAAACTCAGTTCCATGAAGAGAACGTCTTGCTGAATTAGTTGTCGAGCATTAATTTTTTGTGTGGATGTACAAGCAACAACTTTCTGCTAGAGGTAATCGGTGAGTTCAAAGTTGGAGGTGCTAGGGTGAAGCAAGATCTACCAAGGCCGACCCATCCTTTTGGGCGCTTACGTCAATTGTAAAATTTTTATAATTCTTAAATAGTCATGCACACAGGTGCTGAAGCGAGGTCAAAAAGTGACTTCTTTTTTGCTCGGTCAAAAAACTCTTTCGGCAACGCAGACCCTATGGCCTCTTTCATATTGCAAAATAATGTACGAAAGTTTCTCTATCTATCCACTGTTAGATAAGATGCCTATCAATCCTCATAAGGGAGCATTGCCATGTCAAAAAAGACAGGTTTGAAGAAAAACGCTGTGAAGTTTTGAGTTCTTGCTTCTTCCTTAACAATTATTTTCGCAGGCCTTAATTGTATCTGATAGCCAAAGAACTGCTTAATATATAGAAACTAAGATCTTGGAAGAAAAGTTGACTTTGAATGCGTGCAGAAGAATATTCTTACTGCTCTCTTTTCAATACCATTTGACCTGTACCGTTCCGTGGAAGTTTTTGGCTGTACAACTTTTATTAGACATCATAAGCAATTTAAAGATAATTTTTTCAATTATATACAGTATGTAACATACTGATAAGTTTCAATCAATGCCATAAACTCGTCTATTGATGAAGAACGCCTCGTAGCGTATAGGAGGTGGCAAATCTGGATTTGGTGGAGCGATTTGTTTCGGGTGACTGAAGTATAAGGTTTTCGGAACCAAATCTAAAATTGAAACCATCAGCTTTTGTTTAGATTAACTCTTTTCTATAATAAAAACCTCTCAAACTCTTATGCGCTAATTCCTGAGCAGGATTATTTTGTTGAACTTTCGGTGGCATGATGAAGAAGTGCCCATCGTCATCAATGGTATACGAGGGGTATCTGAATATAGCTTCCGTTTGATTTTTCGAAATCTTATTTGTTGGAATTGTAGTGATGATATTGAGCTAAGTAAATTGAATTAGAATAATTAACGATTTCTGGAGAGATACACAGGTTCATGTTAGAGGAAACTTTTGATCTGTCTGCTAACGGTGATACACCAAACCATCAGATTGGCAAAACTGATGAGTCGGGGCTTCTGTCCGTTCACTTGACTTAGTAGGAAAATTTTGCATGAAAGCACACTTTTCAAAATGAAAGCGAGGAGAAGCTGCGCCGGTGAAAAGTCGTTGGTTCCTGGCTTGCAAGTCCTGTGCTTAATTGAAAACAAAGCAAACTTTCTTGACTTCTACAACCGCTCGTATTAGTTGAAGAAACGATTCGAAGTCGCCTGATTTATGTGACATCACCGTAGTGTGGCCTTATCTCGCTTCAGAGTGGACGAATTCTTAATCCAAGGATACTATTCTACTCAGCTCGGAGCGGCACTCTCCTGATAAATAGAAGTGCTCGTTTGGATACAGTAGGAGGTCAAATTCCAAGCATCGTTTCAGATTTTTGCTTGCGGTAGGTTGCCTAATGAGTGCAGTGAATAATCACATTGAGTAACCTACCATAAGCAAAAGTCTGAAACGATTCGTAGAATCTGGCCTCCTACTACATCCGAGCGCGTACTTCTATGAATCAGAAGATGCGCCGTGCCGAGCTGAGTCGGATGGTGCCCTTGAACTAACAAGCAAAGCATGTTTAGTCATTGTTTCGTCGAAGTGGCCTTATTTATATGGGGTGTACACCATATTGAAGAGCATAAAATGCTGATTCTAAATATGCTTTCCTTTTCTGCAGAGCATTTATGGAAGAGGCTTTATGAGCGCTTATGGGAGCAAAAAATGAATGTGCGAGTGTTACAAAAATAGCCGTAATACCTTTTTCTAGGTCTTCAATGGAGCAGTGATAATCATCAGAGCACTTTATTCAAAAAAGTCTAAAATAAAAAGATATATTACATTTGTTGCATTATTTGAGGGATTGTAAGATTTTAGCAACCCAACTTGCCCACAATGCACCTTCAATTTTGGCTCAAAAAAACGCTCGTAACTCCTTGACCAAAAACGATCTGCAAATAAGAAAACAGGTTTGGAATCAGCTTTTACTTCCCTCAATACGATTTACATCTCATTCAGAAAGGCCACTTCGACTAAACAAGCTTTCCTTGTAAGACGTCCACTCTGGAGCGAGATAAGGCCCACACTGCGGTGATGTCGCATGAATCGGGCGACTCTGCGTCGTGTTTTCAAAATATACGAGCGGTATTGTACCTTATATAGTAGAGGGCATTCGAAAAATCGTGACGATGGCGCGACCGCGCGTGACACGCACGTCACTTCCGGAAATCTCATTTTCTTGGTTTTCATCTGTGGTCAAATGGTTTTTTTTGCTCACGTATAATAATATTTAGACACTGAAAGTGACTGAACTGAACGTCGAGGTGATGCCTTCTTGTACTAGCATTTTATGCTCCTGTGGGCGCAAAGTCCGCAGCAAAATCCATCGTCACGATTTTATGAATGATAGACACATTAGTTTACACGACAAATACGTTCGGGATAACTTTCTATTTGCAGTGTTGTCCATGTGACACTGATTAATCGCATCGAAAATTTTATTTAGCATCATAATCTATTTTTGTACATCTTCTTTTTTCCTGACTATCTGCATTCCACTTTGCAAAGAACACTCAGTTATGCCATGTGCTAAAATTGTAATCGTAAATATTTTCCATTTTTTCTTATAGCAAACACATCAAGCTGTCATAAGATCTAGTCTTCATTTGAAAAACCGGATCATCTGTGTTTTTCACGTGAAATGTAGTACATGGTTGCTGCGTGAAATATTACACTACATGTAGAATGCATGGGGAATACCATCACGTATCTCATGGTCATGTGCAAGGAGATGTTGATAGGAAGAAGCAAAAAATGCCTTGATTTATGGACATGAAGGAGGAGGATACAGCAAATTTTCCGAAAGTGGCAGATATTTGTATTTACTTAGACTCCAGAATTGAGGCATCTTGGAATTCATAGAGTTTATGTTACGAAAATTTCCAGCCATTCTCAGCAGAAATTTGATAGGCTACGCATTAACGAGCAAATTTTTCTCATACAAGTGGCATACCGAGGTGGGGGGGGGGGGTCGCAAAATAAAGCTACTTACATGAGTCATAAAAGCGTGAAAGTGACTTGTTCATACTTGTGAATAATTGAAATAATTTTCATAAAATTTTAAAAGTCCAATTTAGACTTAGAAAACGCCCCTATTTTAGAATTTCGGGGTTCTAGGCTAGCGAAAAGTCTGAGAAGCATACGAAAATTTTTTTTGGAGTTTCACCTCCATCAGAAGAAATTTTAGTCGCGGCTCCGTAGCCCCCGAACGGAAATCCTGAATATGCCACTGTCTTATACGTATTTGTTGTTCTAGGGCTCAGGAGTTGTTCGTATGATGCCGTGCTAGTGCCGTACCAGCTCTCACGCGGACGCGCCCAGAACCGATTAGTCGCTGGCACGGGTTGCTTAAACGCAGCCTTTTAGCCTTCCGGGCTTTGAATTCTGCTTTTTCGACCACATTGCTCTTTGGTAAAATGACATATATACGGAGAATAACAGTTCAATCATAAAGATCATTAATGACGAATTTTCTGCGGTCAGTCATGTGATTTTTGGAGTTTATCAGTGCGAGAAATTTAGTCCAAAATTTGGCTAAAATTGGAATACGTAGGAGTTGATTCGATTGTATCGTTTGTGGTTGGAAAGACTACTTATTCTCAGATCAAAAAGGCCGTTTAACTCATTTGCTCACAATATATTCTTACAAGTACTATAAAATAAATTTCAAGATTTATACATAACTATAAATAAAACCATCAATATGTACAATATTATACAAAAAAATTACATTTGATAATTCATTAAAATCCCTAGTACTCCTTATGATTCGTCAAGAAGTGTACTTGTTCATTTCAGGAGATCTGCACTAGTCGTAAAGTTGGTTTTGTTTGTTTCGGTTTCGTAGTCTAAATGATTCGAATTATTATCAACAAATTGAAAGATATATCAAAAGCACTTATTTTCACATGATAAAAAATAAACGGTTTTATAAACAGTCTTTTTTGGAAGCGAATATTTTTTTTTGAAAAATTCACCGTTTGAACCCCGGATAGCTGCTCTGAACGGAATGCGGATCCCGGGAGTTGCGGCGTGCTGCGATCCTTAGGTGATAGAAGTCCGCCAAAGTTACGCCGGAAGTGACTAAAATATGATTTTTTGTCGGTAATAATGCAAGTGGTCGTTAAGAGGGTGGGGTGGATGGGGGGGGGGGGGTAATAGGAGGAGAGGAAAACACCATATCCAGAAAGACGTCGAGGCCCGCGCAGAGAGCACTCAGATAGCAAATATTTGCAAATAATTTGCACTTGCCGCTTTGTAGCTTGAAAAATTAGTCTTAGCAGGTAGGGTACCAATTTTTTCTCTTGGTCTTCCTCACAACAGAAAACACACAAAGTTAAATAAATGAGCAGAAATTTAAAGACCATTACCCCCACCAGTATTTTCCTATGCTCTTGAGGAAGTTGCTTACCATAGAAACACACTGAAGCCGCTATCAAAAACCATCTCATGTAAGGAAGCTGTTGTGAAGATCCTTTCTTTGCGACTTGGTGGAATAGGAAGTCTTCGGTGGGCGAGATTTTATTTCTGAAAGATCACACATCAAAGTTTAAAGTGAACTTCGGAGTATCTCTGGAAGATCACACATCAGAAGTTTCAAGTACTCTGGAGTATCGCAATATCATACAAATTCTGAGAGAAAGCAAAGGTATCAGTGGTATGTTGTGGGAGTGGTCGTACCCAAAAAGAGAAGAACGAATATGCACGTGCCATACATGGCATAACCTTGAAATAGAAGGAAGATGGGTACATCTGCACTAAAACGAGAAGTTGTGATATGTGAGACACAATATAAACGGGGAAAACCTCAGCATAATTCATGGTGCTTTGATCGGAATTGTTAGACAGATAGATGTTGTGGTTTTTGAAATTTCGGACTTATATGTCTTTCTCCGTGCACGAGAAAACGCAGTATCGAGAAAATATAGTATTTACTTTTAAATGCTTACGTGAAGGCTACATACTAAAAATTACACCAAATCTGGCTAATAAAGCCGCATCTTCGACGAGAATAAGTCCATCTTCAGTTGAGGTCCAACTGCAGAAAAGTTCTTTTGAGTTATAATCACCCTGGCCTTATATGTATCCCTTATCTGTAGGATTAATTGCGGGGAGGCCTTATATGCCAATTTTTAGGGTATAGTAATTCAAAGGCCGAGACAATACTATGCAAAAGGGGAAAAAACCATCATAAGTAAGCAAGGCTCTGCATTTGTCAAATGAGTGCAGTTTACAATCTACCATCATTTGTGGGTGTAAAATACGTCTGGTTGTTGATATCAGAGAGTGAGCGAGATTTATTACTACTCATGAAGTAGTCAAACTTGCAGTCATTAATTTTTATTGAAGACCTTGCTTCGCTAAATTTGGAACAAAATTTCGACTAGATTCTTCACTGCTGAGTAGAGCAAGAAGAAAGAGAAAATTCTGATTAATGATGTTCCCTGCCGTTAATTGTGTCTGTTAGGATCCAAAGATTGTACAAATCTTGAAAACAAATTTTATATCGAAAAGGGAGTTGGGAACGGGGAGGGGAGGGTTAGGGCTTGACATGATGTATAAGCTGGATCCCTTCCCGGTTTTTGAAGCAAGAAATGAAATGGCGGAAGCCTTGGACATTGATTTGTGCTAGTGCCACGTTCTTCAAAACTATTTTTTCATTCAGCTGCACACCCCTTATGGATCTTGACGGGTAAGTAACAACCTTGAAAATCTTGCTGGCATGCATGAAGAATTACTCAAGTATATTCTCCTGTATATTCTCGAGTCATTTGTAACTCCATGTACTCCGCACACGCGATTAACGACAACTTTACCAGCCTTCTCAGTAAAATCTTTTCTAGCGTAGCAAATTATGGAAATGTTTGCTACAGCTAATAAGTATTTAGTTGAGTTAAAAGAAACAAGGGAACAGGGAAAATTCAGTGAAAATAAACAAGTTGTAATCTTGCAGGTCGTCAATTAGCGCGCATAGTGTGCATTACGCACAATGAGTCAAAAAGACCCGATGATAAAAATGTACACATTACCGTAACCCGCTTAGTACAAATTTCTGCACTGAGATGACCCCGACGCATTCCAGACATTCTTCGGTTCATTTAGCGTTTTATTTATTTGCACAGCAAAACGTGCGCGACATAGTGCGTAACGTATGATCGTAGTGTCGTGCTCTGTTCATACACACTCCCACGTACCACTACTTACACACGGTCGGACGAGCACACAACCACACAAATTCACAAACAGACAACACAGTGACATCATTTAGAGGTTCTTGAATTTGTTTGCTTCGGTAAAAATGTCTAGTGCAAATCCGAGTTTCAGAATCCTAGGCTAGGTAACGTAAAGGTTCCGACACAAATAATCGACATCCGTAAGCTCGTAAGGCAAGCAGAATGCTGGCGCAGTTTAGCTTATTTTCAGATAAAATAAGATTTTGGAATTTTTGGTCAACATCTTACCATCCTTTTATTTGCTTTTATACAAAAATTTTTTTATAATATGCAGTTCAGAAAACGCTCAAAGTCGCTTAAATGCCAATGCTCCAAGTCCTTTAGTTGCTAGCATGCGATATCTGTTTCCCGAAAACCGCAACGCGCGTATCTGCGCCTCTAACTCAACTATAGCTCCCCTATACTTCTTTATACGCGAGAAATTGACAGATATGAGGCGCAAAATCTTTGTGGGCTAAAGAGTGGAGTCATCAAATATTAGGCAATATTCTGTATAGCCGGGATCTCCTTAGTTTTACAGTAAGAAGCGGGTCAATCTCTCTTTGTTACTGTAGGATTACGGTAGGAACAAGGAGTTGTTGCACTATTGAGAATCAATCTTGCTTCAAAAAAGACTCGATTGTAGGCATAGGTGTTTATAGGTATATCAGGTTCGCTGGATCCAAATATAACATTGCGTTACTGCAGACAATGTATTCATCAGTGGGTTCTTATCTGTCAGAAACCTGGTAACATTGTACAGACTTTTTACATACTTGGAAAGTTAGCTACAATTAGTCCATTCGAAAGTCCCACCAAAAAATGTTTCGGAAAAGCAAAAGTTCCTAGAAATTTCAGCCAATTTGCAGGGACCTCGCATGCTGGAGGTTTTTGACAGTAACGAAAATTGCTGATATGCTGTAAACCGAAATCTAAGTTGGACCGAGCTCTATGGAATGGCACATAAAGGTGAGAGAATGGCATCAGGGCCACAGTGATAATGTCAATCAAGTGGTGAATGACTCCTTTATAACTTTGATGTATAGTATATTCTGTTATGCATGTTTTATATCCATATATGTAGCTCGTCTCTATTGCTGGCTATCGAGAGAAGCATTAGCTTTGTTATGGTCTCTGCCTTTATCTTGCAACAACCTAGAGTTAAAAAGTATCTGTTAGATGACTGAGTGCTTATGTGAACAGTTCTGCATAGTTTTTTATCTTTCATACTCCGGAAAGGAGTTGAACTTCGGTTAGCACGAGCGATAAAGATTGTTACCAATCTTGTCCACTGCTCAAATATTACATGGTAGTTATATGGATGATGCCAAGATAATTGACAGTCGAGCTCTAAGTGACTTCCTCATATGGTTTTCGTATAGAGGGTTCCGAGTGTTATTACAAAAATGATGTTGGCATCCACACCAAAACATTTTCCTGCGGAGTCCATCCCTCACCAGCGAATCATTTTTTTTACCAAACTGATCACCGATGCTTTACGCAGCACGTGAGCTCTCGCATCTCAATCAAGCGCCCAAAAAACACAACCAAAACTCTGCTGCTCAGCAATTAGCACGTTCTCTTGCCCCCGTTTGCTCACGAGCCTCGATTTCGATGCTATGTTGCTCTCTAGAACCGATGCGCTCTTCAAGGCACCGCCTGACCGGCGCCAGCCTGAGAGCCACCAGCTCAAGATGAAGGCGAGCCGCGAGAGCTATGTTGACTTTGTAAACAAATATGCAGCTTATCGCTTGGAAAAAGGGAAGTATCGTTGATTTTATGCAAAATTCTTATATCGTGTGTCAGTAGGCGGAAAATTTTCGTAAGGCTGTAAAATCAAGGCAAAAAAGCGGGAATTGAAAACCTAAAGCAACTAAAAACAATAAGGAAGTATCTAGCAACGTCCGTAACGCTGCCGAAATGCGAAATGACAACTAAGGAATGTTATCATTGCTGTAACAGTACACAGTACAATAAAACGGGTATCTTTAGGGGAGTATTCCTCTCAAAAAGTGAAATTGTATCAACAATAGGAAGATGCATGTGTATAGACATAGAAAGACCGGGAAGACCACGAGATGTCTGTTTCACAGACAGATTCGATCAAGGCCTTTTTCGTGTTCTTTGGAGTTGATCAAGGTTGTGTCGCTCAAGGGACAAAGTCTATTATCGCTTACTTATCAAATGAAGACTTATGCTCTGTCGGTTCGGAATTTTTTATCATCTGCTTCCGAAAATCGAAAAAAAATCGTTGAAGCTTCTCAATTTCGATAATATCTTAAGAAGAAAGCACAAGAATAGTCTTTACAGGACTGATTAGAACGTGAATAGTGTTGGTCCCAACAAATCGACTTTCTCGTCCCTCTAAACAGGGAAGGATATTTGGTGACCCCGGCCATTCATAATGGTTTGTATATCAAAAAATGCGCATTTTAATGCTGGTTCGAATACTGTTTTCCATACCTACGAAATGAGAGCCTAGATGGAGTTATAATAATTTTTTCAGGAATAAATTGCCCTACTGCGGAGGGGGAAAATCATTAATAAAGATTTTCTTTCGTCTTGAAATGCTAAATATGATTTAGATAGGCATAAATATAACGTACACCTTTAAGATTCTCCTCAGTAGCTTCAAGCGGTAAAATTGATTAAACTGGGTGATTTTAAGTACGCAAGTTTTCTACGAAAAAAGTTCACAACTGTCTTCATATGATCGTTTCGCAGATTTCGAGCATAGATTTGAAATCAGCGTTTCGAGGTGCACCTTATGATATACATCGCATACCAAATGGCGGGGGTCACCAACTATCCTTTCCTTGTAAGTCTCTTTTCCATATAGTTATAACTCATTACTATCACACAAACTTGCATTTCTGTATCTTTGAAATGGAAAAAAAATTACCGAAGAGGAGGAGAAATTATCATCGAAAGCCGACCGAAGACGCAGGAAGTTGCGGTGAAATTTCTAGCTTTTATAATATGGATCACCTCTAAACTTCTTTATTGAAACTAAAAAGCATTAATTCTACAGATTTCTGGACATAGCGGTTTTTTTTTCGGCTTTGCTGGCTGTACAATCGAATGTTATGGGGGGGGGGAGGTCGGTATTTGTCTTGAAAATTACTTACATATTTCTCCTTCTTTCTGGTACTAAAGACTGGCTGTTCTCATATGTTGCCAGATTTTCGTTTAGATTTCAGTTTTTCTACTTTAATGCACCATGAATATATATAAAATAAATTTAAATATTGAATATTGAATGAGAAATATCTACAGCACTCTCAACGTCGAGTTCATATAATCCCCAACACTTTGAATTTCCATTTTTTACATTATTTCTCTCTTAATGCGGAAGTATAGTAGGTAGTTTGTGCGCAAGCGTAATAGTCAAATTCTCACGTATGTTA